GTCTGCTTTAGACCACACTTGAAAGTAGACTAGTTAATGTTTGCTATTCTTGCCGCTTATATTGCTCGGGCAACATCTCACCGTGTTGCCCGGGCAACGCCTCACCTCATTCATCTCCAAAGGTTGACAGGAACATTAACACTATATTTGGAGCGAGTATATTATTGGGATAATCTACTCGCTACAGAACTCCCCCTCCCAGGGGATGAAAGGAAAAATACTTGATCAAGGAACTTAGCTGGTCGGTGAATTGTACGCCCTGCTCGCGTTACATAACCATCAAAGTTAACTTCCTCCTCTTCGCTGATGTCATCTAACTGGGGTCGTAGGGTGGGAGGTCGCACAGGATCGTCCGTCGTCGTAGGATCAGGTTGTGGTGCAGCTGGTAACTGGGGTTGTAGGGTGAGAGGTCGTACAGGATCGTCCGTCGTCGTAGGATCAGGTTGTGGTGCGGCTGGTAACTGGGGTCGAAAAGTGAACTGCGTAGTCGGCGGATGTGTCTCTGGATTTAGCAGTGTCGCAGACGTTGAGACGAAGCCTGGAGCAGAGCAGAGAGCTGAGTGAGGCCGGAGTCGTGGAGCTCTATGTGGGAGAGCGTGGCGGCTCGATTGAGATTTGTGAGTGTCTAAACTCGGGGAGCGAGAGCGTGGCGGCTCGATTGAGAATTGTGAGTGTCTAAACTCGGGGAGCGAGAGCGTGGCGGCTCGATGCGGTCGTAGTCTGCTGTCTGCTCTGTGTCGAAGCTGTAGCGTCTTGGGTTGATTAGGACTGTACACGCCGAGTACTACATTGTTGACTGTGGAAATTGTAGTCTGGTACTAAAAGATGTAGGCAGTGTGTGGACAAGCTCGGTATAGCAGGAGAGAAGAATGTGCATAATTGTTGCGTCTTTGGGTCGCTGGTGGAGCATTTAGATCCGGGGCGGATGGGCTCGGGCACTAGGACATTAGGAGGTAATGTAGGCACGTAGTTAGGACAACGAGGGAATCACTGCTAGAGCTGAATTGTCCTGGAAGCGACGAAGAGTCGGAAACGCAAGCTGTAAGTCCTGTACTGCGCAAAGGGCTTGAGTCGGCAGAGTATCAAAATGCAGTGAACGTGTAGATGAATCTGACGAAAGAGCAGCTTTCGTGGGCGCCCCTGTAGAACAAGCAGTCCCCTTACAGCGACGGAGAGTCGGCAGGGCAGGCTGTAGATCCCACATTATGTAGTTACTGATGAAGCTGCCAGATGAGTGAGTAGTGATCGTGGAGCAGCAAGCCGTAGTAGATGAAAATGCAGAGATGATCGCGATGAAAATCATAGCTGTGGCAAGGGTGTTGGCAACGTTCCACGACAGGTGGCTGCGGTCCACAGCAAGCAGCAGCAGTGGAGGTCCAGTGAGAGTCCATGTTGTAGTCCATCGTGGCTGGGTATCGTCGAAACTCTCTGGGGTCACCAATGTAACGGTTCTATTGTTACGTAAAGTATGGTGACAAATAAACACAGACACTAAGATACTATATATATATTTGGTCGAATATACAGAAGTACACCGGTGATAAGTTGGTGTGAGTTGAGCGCACTGAGCGTCGGTACAGTATCTCGCAAGTGTCTGCTTTAGACCACACTTGAAAGTAGAGTAGTTAATGTTTGCTATTCTTGCTGCTTATATTGCTCGGGCAACATCTCACCGTGTTGCCCGGGCAACGCCTCACCTCATTCATCTCCAAAGGTTGACAGGAACATTAACACTATATTTGGAGCGAGTATATTATTGGGATAATCTACTCGCTACAAGATTATAACAGTTGTTACACAAAATGGCTAAATTTTGCCATTAAAAAGAGCTCATAGTGGATTTTGTAATAGAGTTTTATGGAAAGGGAGTTAGTTATACAATTTTTCTAAATATCTTCTGATATGGGTGTTGACTTCTCAAGTTCAAGTATGTTTATTGAGACAAGAAAAAATACATCTCAAAGGGATAGAGTAGCTTAGGCTATTTCTGCCCCCTTCTTCTTCAAGTCCGTCAAGGAACTCACAAATTCAGTGAATACAAATACACAAATCACAGTACAAGAATCCCATTTAACATTGCAAAAATAATATATTTTAGGAGTAAATCCTTGTCTATGTTAATATTTATTAAACAGTTAATGGTGATGACTTCTCAATTTGTGTAGCTAACACAATTGAAGGCTTCTCTCCAGTTCCTTGTAGATTTTATACCAGTCAGTACAATGAGTAAGGGCTCTGAGTATAATTGCGTTTATTACACTACTCTTATACCTGTCTGACCATTCATACACATTCCAGTGTTGGTGGGTTTAGTATAACTTTCTGTGGTGAAAGTTGTATTAGGTTCTCACGTAGACATGGAGGAAAGAGAGTGTACCATCGAAGCCTAGTTCATGAGTAAAGTTAACTCGGATAAGTAGATCCTTTAATAGCGACAATTCTAGTAGTTTTTTTTCACAAATACGTATATATTCTCGATGTATCTGCAGTAGATGCGAAGTTTCCCTGTGGTATTGAGGGTTTTCTAGTGTTCATATTTAGAGTACCAATGGGTTTTATTTATATTTTTAATACAACAAAAAATAATTACTATAATGATTCGATTATTTCTGAGGGCCATTATTTCTGAGTGGGCTCAAAAATTTATTCCCCTAATAAATGCACATTGTTATCATTATGATTGACCAAATCTAGTTCTTGAAGGCGAGATCAGTTGTGAACGCCAGCTAGCGCACAAGTACAAGAGCGCCCAAAATTAACACATAAGACATGGAGAGACAGGCGTGTAGCTTCTGACTTTGTTTTTATTAATTAATATTACATGTTAAGCGTTTACTCTTAATACATATTATTATATATAAGTATAACTATCACACAGTACATGTAATAGGAGTCTACCCAAAAACTAACTCTGCTTTCAGACAACACTCAGCTCCCTTGTTTAAATCCCTAAACTTGCTTGAACTTGAACCTAAACTTGCTAAATATTAACTCCCTCCACACATTCTCTTGTGTCAACTACATTTACAAAACCCTGTTCTTAAATGCAAACCATGCTCTGAAACTCTCCCTGGACAGATGTAATAGGACCCATTATCACCACACCAGAAATAAATATCTCTTTGATATCCCCAGGGTCAAACTTAATCTGTGTAAACACTCTATGCAAATTAAGGGACCTAGTCTATGGAACTCACTCCCTAGTGAATTGAAAAACTGTAAAACTTTTGCCTTATTTAAAAGCAAAACCAAAAAGTACCTAACTTCATCTTCTTAGTTTCGTACACTGAGCTTTAAATTTGCTCTGTACCTAGTGTTACCCAATCTCCTAATTTTTATGTAATATCAAACAACCTTATCATTGTGTTCATTGCTGTCTTCTTTTATGTGCTAGCCATATGCTGTATTGTGACTACCAATTTTTGTCAACTACCATTCAAGCTGTCATTGCAATCAATCTTATATTGTTTCTGCTGTATTGTGCCTAACAATTTTTTTATCAACTACCATTCAAGCTGTCATTGCAATCAATCTTAGCTACCTATGTGCTTTAATATACTGTACCTACAATTTTCTCTCAGCTTTTTTTTCATTTCATGTAATGTTTCATTTTTTTTTGTCTATAATTTTTGCAAGTATTTACCTCCTTAAAATTTTCTTAGATTAAGGACCTGCCCGAAACGCTGCGCGTGCTAGTGGCTTTACAAGACTGTAATTACCATATTTGTATCCTCACATTCCTTATGTACATTCTTGTATATGCATAAATAAATAAATAAATAAATAAAACTGTCCACAGTGAAGTGTTTTGTGCGTTCGACCATGTTTGTGGGCCTTCAGATACTAAGTGTAAACACTGGCGGGCGTCGTTCTTATGAAGCCAAGATTATGTCCATCACATCACTCAACTTCATTTAATAACTATATGCCTGTTAACTAGAAGATTTTAACTGTTAATAGTCTTACATTAGGGTTGTAATATTGAGTAAGTATATATATATATATATATATATATATATATATATATATATATATATATATATATATATATATATATATATATATATACCCTTATCTATCCATATTTCAACTATGGTATTTGTGCTTGGGGCTCTACTACCCAAAATCACTTACGTCCTCTAATTACTCAACACAAAGCTGCTATTAGGACAATATCCAACTCTGGCCCCAGACATCACTCGGTACCCCTACTCAAATCTCTGAATATGTTAGACATTAAGTCACTGCACATTCTCTCATGTGTATTATACATATATAAAACGCTAAACTATAATGCCAATCCTGATCTCAAAAGCTTCATAGAAGGTTGTAACAGAACCCATGAGCATCACACCAGAAATAAATACAGTTTTGATATTCCTAGAGTACGACTTAATCAAACTAGAAATGCTCTACAATCAAGGGGCCCAGAATGTGGAATGACCTTCCTAACCATGTTAAAGACTGTACCTCTCTCAACCAGTTTAAGTTAAAAACGAAGCTATACCTAATAAATTCCCTGTAACCTACCTTACCCTTCTATTGTCAACCAATGTCTGTTTTTCTTTAAAGAGCGCTGTTTGTCGACATAATTGTATTTGTGCTGCTTTTTCATCTATGTTTTCATTTCTTGTTTTCATTCTACTCATTATGCTCAATTAGTATTAAGCTTGTCATTTAAGTTTATCATGCCCGAAACGCTTTGCGTAATAGTGGCTTTAGGCATTGTATGTACTAGCCCTATCTATAAGTCCAACAATCTTTGTAAAAATTTCTTGTATGTATGTACCTTACCTAAATAAACATTTATTTATTTATTTATTATTTATTTATTTAATGTCAATTATGTCAATATTATGTCAATTATGTCAATATTATGTCAATATTATGTCAATTATGTCAATATTATGCCAATATTATGTCAATTATGTCAATATTATGTCACTAAACAAAATATTGGGCTACTTTTATCACCAATTCGCTACTTTTAGTCCTTCAAATAGCTACTTTGAGGATGTCGGATGTGGCAACGGTGATGGAGACGGTCAGTAGTGTGTAGTAGTGTGAGAGCTTGGTGACGTGTTGGGTAGTTGTGCTGCACTCTGCACCAGTCCTCACCCACACTTGTCTCCTCACGGGTATAAGGGAAGGTGTACAAGGTCAGCAGCCTTCCTCTCCATCTTGGTGTGGTATCTTGTGTTGTGAGGCGTCTGACCATAGCAACCATGGGCAACAAGAGCAGTCTGATGCTGCAGGAGCAAGATATCAAGGATATCCAGGCAGAGACAGGATGTGAGTACTCTATAACTATATACGCTATTATTTTTTTAATTTAATTTTGCCCTGAAGGGCTAGTTTATTGGGCAGAGCCATTCACCCTGAATGACCATACCGGCATTATTAGTCTGCTTGATATAATCTACTCAGCCCTTGACAAAACTGAGTTCATTGACCTGAGAAAGGTCTTTGATAATGTCAACATTAACTACCTTTTACTTAAACTTCACCACTATGGAATCCGAAGCCTTGATCTGAACTATACTCCATCATACATACTGAACTATACTCTGTGACAGACACCAATATATTGCCACCAATGACATAACCTCCACCACTCTACCACTAACCGTTCAGTGCCACAGGGCAGTATTTTAAGACCTCTCCTTTCTTATAATTATAATAATTCATTTTGTTGGGACAGGCAATCAACCAGACAGCCAAAGTGTATTCATACACGTTCGGTTTATATTGAGGCCGCCCCCCTCCCCCCCCAGATCGAATTACTGACCCTTCCCAAGATGCAACCCCACAAGAAGCTGACTAACTCTTACTGCGAAGTGAATAGAGCATTAGGTGATAGGAAATACGCCCAACCATTTGTCTCTTCGCTCGATTCGAACCTGGAATTCTCAATTGTGAGTCAAGAACAAACCTGACTGTACTATTGGGACCCTATAATCATCTTATACATGTCACTTGTATACCAAATATGTGCAACCTTTGAGCCTATACTATTTGCTGATTATATTCCCATTATTTAGACCCCAACCCATACACACTAAATAATATTGTAAATAACGAATTAAATAAGGTCCATTCGTGGATGTCAACCAATAAACTCGCACTAAACAAAGAAAAGACTTACTATATTTTATTTGGAAGTAAATCATCAAACCAAATTTAACTTCAGATAGATAATGTTAACATCAGCATTAAAAATGAGGGAAAGTTCCTTGGCTTGTACATAGACAAGAGACTAAACTTTAGCACCTACATACAACACATAGTCAAGTCTCAAAAACTGAACTCAAAACAAGTCTCAAATAAAATAAAATATTATGTTATCCACACTGCTCTCCTTTCACTTGTAGTGAGTGTATTATGTTAATGTACTCGCTCCAAACTCTCATTAGCTTAATGAAATGGGTTTGCTAAGTCTACTTAATCCACAAATGACAGATCATACATCTTCCCTAATTACAGTTAACACTCATCTCAGCCTATTAGGTGAGGTGTGGTCCGATTATGTAAGCAATCGAGAATGGAGTATATCTACATTATGGGCTATTCATGCTCGTGCCATGAATAGGTGGGTGGGTGGCTCAATCTTCATCAATCGATTAATCTACAGATACAGCCCCGCTCCTGTGCCAGGTAAGTCCACTACGGGCTCACCATGGCTCATGCTACTTGAAACATTTTGTTCTGAATAGCTGAATCCTAAACAACAGCGAGTAATCAGCAGTATAATTTCAACAGTGGTTCAGTTAACTTCAGTACAGATGCTTGAGAGTTACCGCACAAAAAAGTCAGTAGTTTCAAAGCGTTATATGACAGAGTGCTGGGAAGACGGGACACCACGAGCGTAGTTCTCATCCTGTAACTACATTTAGGTAATTACACTTGGGTAATTACACATTTAACCTCAAGAATGTGGGCCTGCAGACCACTGAAAGCAACAGCCAAGTTGAAACTCTAGTTTTAGAGATAATTGAAAGTTGAAGTTATCGACAATGAATAAGGTAGTTCTAATTCATTAATATTCTTGTATGTTTTTATTAACATTGTTTAGCATTCGCACTCGAATATGTAAAAGTTGAGTCAATATGTGTTGAAATGAAGTAAAGAAAAAATAACCCCCAAAAAACAAAATAAAGGAATAATTCTGATAATTATAATGATTTAATTCGAATCCCTTTACTTCTTATGGGAAAAATAATTCCGACTTACGATATTTCAACTTGCGATACGTCTCTGGGAGCGGATTACCATCATAAATCAAAGCCCCACTGTATGTAATTATATACAGTATTTATATATACAATTATATATATGTAAACACCGGTATTATATGAAAAAATTTAATTCTATACACTATTTAATTCTAAAACTTAGCAAGTATTTTATTCTTTGATTTACTTGGTCTACAAGATTTTGAGCTACTCTAACTCTTTTTCAAGTTTTTCTTTTTCATTTTAACAGTTTTGCCAAGTCAAATAGAACGACTCTACAGTCGTTTCACAAGTTTGGATAAAGGGGACAATGGCTCGTTGTCTCGTGAAGATTTCCTCCGCATTCCTGAGTTAGCAATTAACCCTCTTGGTGACCGCATTGTTCATGCTTTCTTTAAGGCAAGTAATTTTGTTTTTGTTTTATATAAATTAGATATTCAGAGAGTGTAAATAAAGCTTCATATGAATATGAAAGGCACATTTCAGAGCAGAATTATTAAGTTATTCCCCAAGATAAGTATCCAGTGTCATTAAACCAGAAATGTGTATAGTCAGGCAAAATGACATTCTGCACTGGCACTGCAGGGAACTGATTTATAATATAATATACATGTCACATATATGAGCCCCATAATTTTGAGCATAGCGATGTTCCACACATTGAACTATATCAATTCCACAAACTACACACTTTTAAATAATATTACAGCAAAAAACAGAGAAGAAACGAATGAGAAACGTCAAAATAATTGTGAAACATTATATTCGTGCCAACTGCCACCCCACGGGATGGCGGGGCCTAGAGACCTTGAGTGCTCCACTGCTCATAATTTGCTCAACTTCCCAACTCCATTGGGGCTAAAGGATGTCACATACAATATTTTTTTTTTAGTTTCCCATGATCAGAGACTGCATTTTAACAATATAAGAGAAAATATTTTTTTGGAAAGAATTTATTTTTGACGCACCACGGGTGTATCGTATTTTAATGCAGAGCAGTGCAGTGGTTAACCCTTAAACAGTGCAAAACATATATGTATGTTGGGAGTAACTGTCACGGAATGGTGCACATCATATATTATTGATTTGCATATTTAAAATAGTCCTGCACATACATAGAGCTTGCATTTGCTTCCTCAGACCACCAGTAACCATCCCCTGTCTTGAAAAAAAATCTTGTCCCCTCACTTTCCTTCTAGGGCCTTAATAAGAAAATGATGACCATTGCCAAGTGCTCCAGGTAATACATTCACCTTCCTTGACGCTCGTGTGCTGTGATTACAACTGTATTATAACCAACAGTATTCTGCTTTCATATTATCAATGTAAACTTCATATTTTCAGAGAAAAAGATAATAGCATTGTATAACTTTAGCTAAACAGTACAGTACTAGTGTTATATTGGTAGTGGATCTATTACGTATAGTTATTTTAGATTTAGTTATTTTTTTTTCATAAACTCCTACATTTCGTGCAATATAATGTTAAAGTTCAGTATTGTAAAAATGTATAATGTAAAAATATTATGTTAAAGTATTTTTACTTCATATATATCTCAAATACTTTACTATGCTCCAAGTAATACATTGTAAAGTATTTGAGATATATATGAAGTAAAAATACTTAAAACATAATATTTTTTACATTATACATTTTAACAATACTGTACTTTAACATTATATTGCACGAACAGTAGGAGTGTATGGAAAAAAAATAACTTAAATCTAAAATAACTATACCTAATACAGTAATATCCACAGCTAATATGACACTAGTACTGTAATGTTTAGCTAAAGTTATACAATGATATTATGTTTTTCTCTGAAAATATGAAGTTTACATTGATAATATGAAAGTGGAATACTGTGTGTTGGTTATAGTACAGTTGTAATCACAGCACATGAGTGTCAAGGAAGGTGAATGATAAGATAATATATCAGCTAACTTTATCTAATATTAAATATGGTCTCTTTAGGACTGGCATTAAATACTTTTTCAATGTACCAGTAGTTCTGTATATTATTTTTAACATTTTTATTTGTTTATTTTTTGGCACACTGTATTTTTAAGATTATCAGATTTTATTGCTATATTGTATGTATAGTACAGGTATTACCTCTGATAAGTGTTAAACCTTTCCACCCACTCTCTATACAGAATGTACTAAAGGTGTGCCCTGCTCAATAAATTGGTCTTTTGATCATATTAATTTGCCAATTCTTGTGCATTCATAGTTCCTGATTAATTTGTTTTTAACTCACAGTTCACTCTTAAAAGTACAGTGCAATATGCAGTATCTGGCAAGTGAGCCCTGCATGGGATGGTGAGAGTACTAGTAACATGTGGCAAGTTATTTATGGTATGTACACGGGTTGCAAAGGGTTACATCTGCTAGCAATAAATGGCTCTGTTTATCAAATAAGCTACTGAAATATTTTGTTGATCTGTGTAACAAGTAACCATAATGGATAACCAATTAAAAGTAACAACCAAAAAAATATAGTGATTTCCAATACAGTATTAGAGAATAAAACTACTGTAAGTAAAATCATAGAGATACTGCACAGATATATCTGTGTACAGACAACCCTCAATTTGCTGAGTATTAGAGATTGCCAAAACACTAATGCAAGTAAGCATTTTTAAACAAAGTATTGAAATACACAGGTGAATTTTGCCAGTTTTCTAAGTGGATTCAGTGCTGATTTGCTAGTATCACCTGTGCAAATTTGCTAGTCAACTGCATTCTTATCATTGTGTAGGGTTACCATACATACAGTACTATGTTCTTGTATTTAATCATATGTCTTGATCATTGGATATACAGTATTCCAATGGTCTGAATATATTTTTGTATCATTGTACTGTATATCCCAAATATGATGGACTTCACTTAATTGTGTATTATATTTTTGCTGAAAAGTGTAGAACACATTTAATTTACAATATAACTTACAAGTTTTGATGGTATATAAAATGCAATTTGAATTTCTTTTTCAGGAAAGTGATGATGATCATGTGAACTTTCGTCAGTTTGTGCGGGTCTTAGCTCGCTTCCGGCCAATTAAACGCAACCAAGACAATAAGCTTAATGCCAGAGAAGAAAAGCTGCGATGTAAGTAATGATTTATAATATAACTTTTAGCCTGTAAAATTAAAAAGGTAACATGCATACACAAGTGTTTTTGCAGAGTGGTAGACGGTTGGAACAAGTTAACCCCTGCACTGCGCATCTTTTATAATGACATTCCCAGTAATACAGTTGTTTGTTCTCAACACACAATTGAGAATTCCAGGTTCAAATCCTGAGCAGGACAAATGCTTGGGCACATTTCCTTTCACTTAATGTACCTGTTCACCTAGTAGCAAGTAAAGTAGGGGTACTCAGGAGTTAGTCAGCTTGTTGTGGGGTTGCATCCTGGGCGGGGTCAGTAATTCAACTCTTGGGGGAAAGGGGGGAAACCTCGATAAAACCCTAAAGTGTATGAATACACTCTGGCTTCCTGTTCCCAACAGTGAATTATAAATTATTCCTGTGGTGCGCCAAAAATAAACTGTTCTAAAAACATTATTTGTTGCTTTGATATTGTTAATTAGCACCTAGGAAGCACAAAAATTCAAATAAAAAAATCTATATCTCTTGTAGTTTAGCTATAGTGGCCTTCAGAAGTTGCAGATTTTTTATTGGAGAAGTTGTCTCCAACTTCTGGAGTTGTCCTGAAGTTGGGACAACTCTGTCCCAGCTGCTTGAGCTCCTGCATCTTGTAAGGTACAAGATTGAAAACCGTACCCTAGAGTACTTATAAAACCACCCTCTCTTACTCTCCTATAAATAATGGGAGGAATATATATGTACAGTATACATATGTTATTGGCAAAATCGCTGGAGCGAAAATAACCAGCTCTGCATGGGACAAGAATTACACCTTTCGGGGTACAATTTTACATGGTTTTATTTAACAATACAAGATTATTTTACATTGGATTGTGTACACTATTGTTATTGTCTTTACACTACCCTTTCTTCCCCCCTCCCCACTGGAGGGTAGCACTAACAAACGTGATTGCTAGTTGCATGGAGTTTTGCTTGTTTGGTTTCTTTCTCGGGGAGTTATTTTGATCTTTTACGTTGTAGATTGTACAGGTTAGCCAGACAGTGGTCTATTTTAATTTATCTACCTTTTTGGGTCTTTTTCCTGGTCGATGGCAAGTATGACATACAGTACAGTACTTTAAATGTAAAGTGCTCATAGGCCATTGCTCTCTGCACCTCTTTGATGGGGCCAGGTTTTGGCTCGTGGGCCCCATTAGGCATAAGGATTCCTGTGACTAATGACCCCAACCTCGTATAGCACACATCAGTTCGGTTAGCTTCGGGGAACCTCCGGGGCTCGCCTAGAAAAGGGCATTCCATTACATACAACGCTCCTTTTTTTCTAGTTTTCTGTGATCATAGAACTCATTTTAACAAAATATAAGAAAAATAAAATTTGGAGGGAATACTTTAATTTTGGCGCAGCACAGCTTTGTCACAATTAAGGCGGTGCAGTGCTGAGGTTAAGAAATATATTTTGTTTTGTTTTTTGCAAAAAGTGATTTATCATATCTGCATGCTGTTGATACTGGTACCTTGCTTGAAAGGATCATCATGGAACATAACCAAATTGTACATCCTAAAGATCCTGTATATGCTTGAAAACACACTAAAATAAAATATAATTTATGAATACACCTGTATAAAATGTCTTAATATTTTGGTTAGCATAAACAAACATAAAAGATGTTAAATTTTGGCTTCATTTATTCATTGTAAGACGACTTCAGTTAGTCAACATTTAATAATTGTTCGGTATATTCAGATTTTTTGACAGTTTTTAAGTTATTATCCAATGCTATACTGTAGTTTCCCTTTTTCTCTTTCCTAAAGTGTCAATTACCTTTAGCCTATCCATATGTTCATATTTTAAAATAGATGTATGTACAACTGTATGAGAATTCTAGGACTATCCCAGTCACCTGGCAGTGACTGGGATAGTCTGTATCTCCTCCCCATCCTTCCCCCTCCCCTCCCTCTTTCCCACCCACTTTCTATTTCCCTAGCCTACCCACTCTCCCATTTGACTCTGACAGTCAGACATTTCCATTTACATAGAAGGGATACCCAGCTGTACCCAGGTCTCTTTCCCCTGTTGGTCCTTGCACTCATACACCCCTGTCCTTTTTCATGGTTTCTTCACCACTCCTCACCACATTCCCTTGGTCTTCCCCCCTGTTTTCCTCCCTCAAGCAGCACTGAAACAGCTGTATGGGTCTTGAATGGCATTTTTTTTTTTTTTTTTTCTTTTCTTATAATCATTATTAAAATTACACATTAATCACACTACATATATCACATTTGATTCCATGAAAATGGCATGGTAGTGTTTATAATTGCAAATATTTCTTAAAGCATTTAACTTTGGCCTACTCCAACCAGCTATGTCTGTCTCTTACCCAAAACCATTCCCCTCTGCAAATTTGGGTGAAGTATTTGACCTCCCACTTTGGATACGAGACAGACAATATCTCTTATAGATTTATGTGCTTTTAGATGTATTATGTTTTGAGAATTGCAATACTGTATGTATTTTATACTGTATGTATTAATGTTTTTGGAGCACTCCTCCAGTTGCCTTCAAAATGTATGATCTTGATGACGATGAGCGCATCTCTCGGGAAGAACTTCTTGCTGTTCTCCATATGATGGTTGGAGAGAACATTAGGTATGTAAGAAAGTTTTTGTTGCCCTTCTGCAGTGTGTTCATGTATATATTAGCTCCATTAGTATTGTACTGTATATAGTATCCATAATGATAGCCAATAGTCTCAAATTATGTGGACCTGTGGATTTGATATTTACAATAAGTTGAAACACACTTAAATATAATGTTTTAAGTTTCTTATTTTTCTTGGTCTTTTTGTATTAAATCTGTCGACTACAGATACCTGACAAAATCATTTTCCCGGGTCAAATGAATGTGGACAGGAGGAAACAATTTGTACCCTTGCAGCTATCTGTATCCAATTTTTTTTTTTTTTTTTTTTTTTTTTTTTTTTTTTTTTTCCCCACATTGCACCTATAAAATCCTGATTCACAAGGTAACTATGCTTTTCACTTTGAAAAAATTAAGTGATGGGACAATTAATTGGAATTGAGAATCTGAAAAATCTGAATTTTTCAGTAACAGAAATCTAGAGAAATTTATAATGATTTCTAATTCTTAATGATTCTTTAACATTTAATAAAAAAATTAATTTTTAGTTTTGGGTAAATAATTAAATTGTTTAAATTATCATTAACAATCAAGTATTACACTCTTCAAGTTGTATTTTGTTCACTAAAAGTTAAGAATAAATTTATTTTGTATTGCTTTTATGACTGGGGCAACCCTGCAAGTAACTACATGGTTAGCGCTATTGTGTTGCCAGCTCTGGGACAGAGCGGGTAGTGCGCTCCACTGCTGCTGGATCAGGTGAGTTGTATCACTTGTGTAAACATACAGACTACACCCTGCAATCATTTTAGGTTTTGTTTCACATTGTCATCAATAGAGTAAATACAGTATAACAACTAGATGAAATAGGGAAGTTATATCATGTAAACATTTTTCTGACTTTTCCTCATTAAATTTAGTTAATATGAAGCACTTTTTACTGTAGAATTATTTACCATAACAATTTAATATATAAATATACATAGCCTAATATTACTGTAGTATGATTATATTGTATTTGTTTTTATAATTATAATACAGTATAGTATTATATTTTTCTTTATTTTCAGAACCCAGCTATGGCAAGTGATTCTGGTCTCGAGCATAAAAGCTTAGCACAGAAGTTATTCAAAATTGCAGATATCAACCCATCTAAGGCAATATGTCAACTGTGACTTAACAATATCCAGAGGACCAAAGTTGGTTACTTTACAACAACTAATACAGTCTGCTCTAAAACACTTTAGTATAAATCATAGCAAAGAAGTACGAGTAAAAAGAAAATAACACTGCAGTACAGTACTTCCAAATTTTTCTAATACACTTTTCTAATATTAACTAATGCCCCAAAAAAAGTTGTCATAGAATTTTCTAAGGAACTGACTTTAAAAAGATGTCGTTAATAAACGTCAAATTTTGGGATATGAATGACCACGGAGCACACAAAATTCATGAATCTATTGGAGAAATGATAGTAGACTTGCGACCTTTCTCTATTGCGAAAGATATTGGGTTTATAAGACTTGTGAACTGTACCTGCTCCAATTGTCAAATTCTTTTCAGACAGTATTAATAGAATATATTGTGCAGGATATATATACTGAATGAGCATTAGAAAAAAAAAGATACAGAAGGAAATAGATAATTTTTAAGCCTAACAGCTCATTGGATCACTAGTAACTATGAACTAAGGAGTGCTAATCTGAGAGACTCGCCATTTAACGTTTTATATGGCACACAATATTAAGCAAATGCCTGAAAGACACCATGAATCGATTTAATATTCCTTATACATAATAAGAACCATGTTATTTTAAGAGGTAATACAGCTAATATTGCTGCAGGAGTTGCACAAGCTGAATATGACTCATTACGTTGTTTTCTGTACATCTTGCAATTAACCCTTATTGATGTCATGTATACCTTTTGATGGTGATCACTGTCCCTGTTGCCTGGTCTCTGACTAGATTTATGCAAAAAGTCTCCTCCAACTAATGAAATTAATCCTAAAGGCCATCAGTAAGGATTAATTGCAAAGTGTGTAGAAAATAAGGTAATGTTTTCTACATAACCTTGAACAATAGGCCTCCTGCATCGAACAGCCGGGTTGCTAGTCAACCTGGCCATTCGACATCGCTGCTCGCAACCTGATATTTGAGCCACAGCCTAGTTGATTAGATATCCTTTGTAGGCGTTTATAAACTTATCTTTTGAATACTGTGAGAGGTTGGCTAGTTATGCTTCATATGTGTAGAAGGGAGTGTTGAAAAGCATTCTCACAATTAATCTCTTGCCTTTCTATATTTCAATGGAATAGGTGATAGATGAGAACTCCTTCCTGTGAATTTGAGAGCTGGTCAGTCAACTGCAGTCAATTTCCCAACAATTTGGGCAAACTTGGCCTGTTTGCCCAAGTGCGGATCCAGTGGCTTTCTATCTTTGAGAGGTGTTATTTTTGGATTGTGTGGCATTTAAGGAAGGCTTATTTTAACTTGCCTTGGGGTGGTTGACTTCTCTCTTCTTCTTCCCATGGGCTAGCTTCCTCCTGTGTTGAAGTACTTTGTGGGCCATGTCATCATTTTAGCTTCCATATGAGTGCTTCTGCCAAGTTCCAGCCCTTCTCAATTGTCCTGGCCCCTTCTTCCCCAAGGACTTGCATCTTCCTATTGATATTGCCTTTCTAGGGGGAACCCCTTGTAGCTCCCTGAAGCTATCACATACTGACAGTGTACCATCCACTAGATTATATCAGCCACAGAATTCCATTGGCCGACCAGAGACTAGCACCAGAACCTGGCCTCATAATGAAATGCCAATTTCTGGGCGAGCCCCCAGAGGCTCCCTGACACCCTCCCTACGGTTGGCGTTTTTTTTTTTTTTTTTTTTTTCATTCAAGAACTTGCTGATGACGGCCCAGCTCTCCTGGGCCAGCTCCCCCTCAATGAAAGGGGAGGTGGAGCTAACTAGCATGGGGCTGGTTGGACAATATTTTGGTCATTTGTTTTCTTGTTGGAGGGGTTCTTTTGATATTTTGAGGGCATTGGTTGCATTTTTTAACCATGCAGTACTATTTTGATTTGCTTACTTTTCTGGGTGCTTCCTTGGTCAATGGCATGATGATAAACTTTACATTTAAAGTGTTCATGAGCCATTGCTCCCTGTGCCCCTTTGAGGGGGGTCAGGTTCTGACTCGTGGTCCCCAGTAGGCAACAAGAACTCTGCAACTGATGACTCTAACTAATATGGCACTTATAATCAGTAAGCTAGCTTCAGGGAGCAATGGGAGACTCGCTCAGAAATTAGTGATTAATTACAATCAATGCTGGTTTTTTATGACATTGATTAACTTTCACTACAGTATTTTTATTTACTTTTCGTGTCATGGAAAAAGAATTCCTTGAAACATTTTGAAAGTATTGTCACCCTGTTCCACAGTTTGTTATACAATCCTTCTACAAATTAAATGAATATGTAATACAGTACAATGCTGTACTGTGTTTTGTACTGTAACATTTATTTGATACAATAAAGTTTTATTTGTGTTACAGTGATGAACAACTCAACAGCATTGCAGAACGTACTATTATCGAGGCTGATCGTGATGGTGACCAGATGATAAGCTTTGAAGAATTTTGTGATGCATTGGAGCGTACGGATGTTGAACAGAAGATGTCCATAAAGTTCCTTAAATAAGAAGCAAATGCCTTTCAATTAACTTTTTAATGTTCAAGCTCTCTCCAAAAATAGTTAGTACTAATTGCTAAAAGGTAATTATGAAAAGGATTCATTGGTAATTTAAAATTGATTATAATCGAGAAGAATTTTTTTCTCTGTGATACTTTCTGAAATAAGTATAGTACTACTATTTAGTTATTTAAAAGTTTGCTCAGCTGCAGTTCTAAAATTTCATGGGGTATTTGAACATCGATAACTAATTTTGTGAGGGGATGCAGTTTCTTACTTTTCAGAGGCTTATTTTCTTAAAAGCAATCACAATGCAAGGTGGCTAGATTTAGATGAGTGGAACAAATCTGGAGAAATCAAGCACTTGTTGTAAAGTTGTTTGTAAGTTCCAGTGTAAGTTACATAGCAGCTGAAACTGCTACACAGTATTTATAGCAAAGCTGTCTTAATTTAGTACTTTGGGATTTATTTCTTTTCATATATGTACCTAAAAATACAATGCTATATAGTAAAAATATATTCAGTTTTCTGTATTTTGCAGGTAAACATTTAAATTCAAACATTTCACTCGAGTCCATGATATCAATGTGATAACTTGCAAGGCTGTCCTAAATCTGCAAATACAGAACTTCATTCTGTTGGGGTGAGGGTTTAGACATTTAATTGCTCTTAGTAGTAAAGTGATGCCATGATATATGCCATTCCATATACAATAATAATGAAATGTTTCATGTTTAATACTATGTTAAAATCAGTATTTTTTTTCATATTTTACTTAATCAGTGGTTTGGGAGCGACGTTCAAAGTTCGCTTAATATTTAAGCCTTGGAACAGGTAGTGTTTATTTATGCCATACTAAATAAAAAGTGATCCTGCTGTATATCTTTTTATAGATGCTGAAAGCTATTCTTGGAATTTAAAGTATTACAAAATATCATGGCTTTAATCTGGTCTTTGAAAAAAAAAGTCAACTGCAGATGTGTATTGTATATTAGAGTTCAGATAAAATCTACATGGCTCACTATAAATATGAGCAATGACTTAAATAGATTGTTATATGTTCTGATAGAATATACTTTGTTATACATTTTGATATACTGTACTATAATGTATTGTTTAGAATTACTGTATTCACCGTTTCATGCATTGCCTACTACCAGCTTATGTGGTGAGAATTTATTGTTTGTTCACCTATTTTAAACCCTCTTAATATCTCTCAAACCTAAATTTAAATACACAAGGGAAAAATCTTGGAAATTTAGCATTTAAACTGTGCTAATTTATAAGGCCAAAAGGAAATAATTTTGTTGTGATAAGATGGAGAGAAGGCATGTGTGTAATATTATGTGTGGTGGATAATACAATATTTCCTAGTCAGGTACCTTGTGATAACCTCAGCATCAGTTGCCCATTATCAAGCAACTGAATGAGCATGTAGTAGAACTGTAAAGGGTTAGTGTATAAATTGTTTTTAATTTACCCTTTTGTCTAGCATTATTGCTGTGACATCAGCAATAATCTCCAACATCAGCTTCAACTTGTGATTGATGCCATGTCATCCTGGGCCACTAATAATGGTTTCAAATTCTCTTTGACTAAGACCTGTGCTATGACTTAATCAGAACCAGGTCATTCTTCGTCCCCTTTGTCGCTCTATGGTAGTCCCCTTTCGTATAAAGATTCTGCTAAGCTTTTGGGAGTTAATCTTTGACACTCATTTGTCTTGGTTGCCCCATATCTCTTACCTCCAAGTTAAATGCTCTAAACCGCTTACCCTTATTTAATCTTTGTTTCGTACTTCCTGAGGAGTTGGTAGATGCACACACTATTTACACTCTTCTCTTGTACTATCTAAACTGGATTATGGCTGCCCTGCCTACTTCTCTGCCTCTCCTTCGGTTCTTTATCATCTTGATGCTTTGCACCGTGTTGGGTTTCACCTCAGTTCTTGTGATTTAAATTCGTCCCCCTATCCAGAGCATGTATATTGAAATAGATGCCTTGTCGCTCCAGGATTGTCAAGATCGTTACTGCCTTCATTACCTCGCTAGGTCTCTGCAGCACTCTCATTCTCACTTTTGCCATGCTTTGGCTGTTGCCCTTCCAGTGCATAGTGTTCCATTTCACCACCTTCCTTTTTCTGTTCAGATGTCTCGCTTAAAAGCCTTCCTTTCAGTTTGTGTTAGCAATGTCTCTCCTAGTGTCATTCCATCCTGACCTCCTTGGCAGGTTCCCACTTGTGAACTTTTGCAAGTCTTTGACCTATGTGATAAAGGCTTCCAACCCTCCTCTTGTTCTGAAATGTGTTTTCCTTTAACATTTTACTTCGCACTCTCATTGTGCGAGGGATCCTATGCTACACTTTCTAACTTCAGAATTGCTTTTAAATACATGGATGGCGAAATACTGTACTAAAGAAATTGTTCACGACTTTTGTTAGACCAAAGCTGAAATATGCAGTGGTTGTATGGTGCCCATATCTAAAGAAGCACATCAACAAACTGGAAAAGGTGCAAAGACATGTTACTAAGTGGTTCCCAGAACTGAAGGACAAGAGCTACGTGAAGAGGTTAGAGGCATTAAATATTGTATGCCAAAAATAGAAGATAGAAGAAAAAGAGGTGATATGATCCTATATATAAAATAGTAACTGGAATTTATAAAAATTAATAGGGATGATTTCCCGAGACCTGGAACTTCAAGAACAAGAGGTCATAGATTTAAACTAACTAAACAAAGATGCTGAAGAAATATAAGAAAATTCACTTTTCCAAACAGAGTGGTAGATGGTTGGAAAGAATTAGGCGAGAAGGTGGAGGAGGCCAAAACCATCAGTAGTTTCAAAGCGTTATATGACAAAGCGTGCTGGGAAGACGGGACACCACAAGCGTATCTCTCTCATCCTGTAACTACACTTAGGTATTTACTGCTGGGTGAACAGAGGCTACAGTTAAGGACTGGCACCCAGTCAATCCTCCCCGCAAAGATACAAACCCAGGTCAAAGCGCCGGGCGAGTGTTTTACCACTGCACCACAGGGACTGTTAGGATCTTGTAAAATCGACAACATGGGTTTGCTAAAAATAGTTCCTGCCTTACACACTTGCTCACATTTTTGGAAACAGTAACTAGCTACTCAGAGAAAGGACTTCTAGTTGATGTAGTATACATGAATTTTGATAAAGCCTTTGATATGTAACATATGAAAGACTAGCAAGGAAATTACAAGCACATGGAATAAATGGAAGAATAATAGAATGGGGGTAAAACAATGGTTAAAACAAAGAAAGCAAAGGGTCGTGCTAAACGGGAATGAATCTGACTGGAGAAATGTGGTAAGTTGGGTGCCACAGAGTACCATTTTGGGGCCAACCCTCTTTGTCATATACATCAATGACATAGATGAGAATATCACAAACCACATCATCAGATTTGCAGATGCCACAAAGATTTATGGTAAAGTGGGAAATGAAAATGATATTAAAGCTTTACAAAGAGATCTATATGTACTCCACAAATGATCATAAGACTGGCAAATGCTTTTTAATATCAACAAATGTAAAACATGTAACCTTACATGTTGGGCATAGCAACTCGCATCACAACTACCAAATTAATAACATTACATTGCAACAGATTGATTAAGAAAAGGACCTTAGAGTCAAAATCCACCATTCACTGAAAGTTGCATAGCAGGAGCAGCTGTCAAAAAAAGCTAACCAAACCCTTGGAATAATCAAACATACCTTTCACTATATACTGTACTTTCTAAAATTAGGTATTATGTTCCCCACTCTGCTCTCCTCTCATTCTACTATGTGCTAAGGTATCCCTATCTTACATACGGTATCTGTGCATGGGGTTCAACCACTGCAAATTACCTCAAACCCATCATCACTCGGCAAAAAATCTGCTATCAGAACTATAACAAACTGTCCTCAGACAACACACTGCCCCTCTGTTTAAAGCCCTAAACATGCTAAACAAATTCACTCCACACATTCTCTTGTGCTATTTACATGTACAAAACCTTGTTCCTAAATACTAATCTTGATCTGAAATTTTTCCTTGATTGATGTAACAGACCCCATGAGCACCACACCAGAAATAAATATATCTTTAATATCCCCAAAGTCAAACTAAGTCTGTACAAACACTCCATGCAAATAAAAGGACCCAGTCTATGGAACTCACTCCCTAATGAATTAACAAAATTGTCCAACCTATGCCTGGTTGATACCTGGTTGATGGGGTTCTGGGAGTTCTTCTACTCCCCAAGCCCGGCCCGAGGCCAGGCTCGACTTGTGAGAGTTTGGTCCACCAGGCTGTTGCTTGGAGCGGCCCGCAGGCCCACATACCCACCACAGCCTGGTTGGTCCGGCACTCCTTGGAGGAATAAATCTAGTTTCCTCTTGAAAATGTCCACGGTTGTTCCGGCAATATTTCTTATGCTTGCTGGGAGGACGTTGAACAACCGCGGACCTCTGATGTTTATACAGTGTTCTCTGATTGTGCCTATGGCACCTCTGCTCTTCACTGGTTCTATTCTACATTTTCTTCCATGTCGTTCATTCCAGTACGTTGTTATTTTACTGTGTAGATTTGGTACTTGGCCCTCCAGTATCTTCCAGGTGTATATTATTTGATATCTCTCTCGTCTTCTTTCTAGTGAGTACATTTGGAGGGCTTTGAGACGATCCCAATAATTTAGGTGCTTTATTGCGTCTATGCGTGCCGTATATGTTCTCTGTATTCCCTCTATTTCAGTAATCTCTCCTGCTCTGAAGGGGGAAGTGAGTACTGAGCAGTACTCAAGACGGGACAACACAAGTGACTTGAAGAGTACAACCATTGTGATGGGATCCCTGGATTTGAAATTTCTCGTAATCCATCCTATCATTTTTCTGGCTGTCACAATATTTGCTTGGTTATGCTCCTTAAACGTTAGGTCGTCAGACATTATTATTCCCAAATCCTTTACATGCTGTTTTCCTACTATGGGTACATTTGATTGTGTTTTGTACTCTGTATTATGTTTAAGGTCCTCATTTTTACCGTACCTGAGTACCTGGAATTTATCACTGTTAAACATCATGTTATTTTCTGATGCCCAGTCGAAAACTTTATTAATATCAGCTTGAAGTTTTTCAATGTCCTCAGCCGAGGTAATTTTCATATTGATTTTTGTGTCATCTGCAAAGGATGATACGAAGCTTTGACTTGTATTTTTGTCTATATCTGATATGAGAATAAGGAAAAGCAGCGGTGCAAGGACTGCACCGCTGCCTTATTCAAAAGTAAAACCAAAAATTACCCAATTTCATAAAAATTGCCATCTACACTTCGATGGAAATAAACATTCAATTCACCTGGATTGTATGAGTCTCGACCCGTGGAGCCCACGTGTGAGGCCATAGCTCTATCGACTGGGCTATGAGCCATTTTAATAAGGCAAGTTTCCAGAAGTAGCATCCTGCTGTCAAACTGGAATTTTTTACTTTTCCCTGACTACTACTGAAGTTAGTTTCTTAGTTTAGTTCATTTATTATGCACCCCATACCCATCTTGTGGGCGGTAGTGGAAAGGGTTACAGAGGCACATAATGGGCTTAGGGACTGAACCACACAATTCATTTAGTTAAGCAATTTACAATCTTGATGAGCTAGTTACAAAATTCAATACACATCATCAATATGTTCGAGACCGACCACAAGTATAGTTTATAAATTAAGCAACTGACATATGTGGAGAGCTAGTGTCACAATTGATATGTTTGCCCTGCAAACTGCCCCCCCATCCAATGGGCAGCAGTGGATAGGTTACAATCACTTAGTTACTATCTACAGTTAGCAAACTGGGGATATTTGGCTAAGATTTCTGGTAACAGATCATTTTGAATTACATATTTACACATCTCTGGAACATTTATTATAGAATTGACTCTGAATTCATGTATCTTTTTACACTCCATTGCACAGTGATGGAGGGTGTGTGAATAATTTTTTGAACACAGTTTACATTTGGTCAGATGTACATCAGCAGATAATGAGAATTCCCAGATACTTGTAATTGAGTCTAAGCAAGTACTAGCCAATGATATTCCATTATACAGTATCTGTACCCCAAAATACAAGTGTCTTATAAGTCCATCAGCAAAAAGAGCAAGGAAAACCCAGCACTCCTAAAAGCAACAACACTTGAAACAATAGATTCCTTTATAAATAACTAACGGCCTCATGAGCACTATGCTTATACTGATGGGTCTGTACAAATGTTAACAGGTCACACTGCAGCAGCCTGTAAAATATACAAAGACAACATATGTACACAGACTACAAGTGTGACTGAATAATTGGCTTAGCTCCACACATTACATCTTAGCTCCACGACATCTTACCATGTCGTGGCGCAATTGATTAAGGCGCGTCTGGGATCATCTCGGAACGTAGGTTCGGACCCTCATCAT